ACTGAGCCAGTGCGTACTTCATGGCAAGGAGTTTCTTGTCATACACTGGGTAATTGCGCTCAGCTGCTTGCAGCTGACGCGATTGATTGCAGACGACGCGCTCTGCGCCGTCTGTGTCATACTGCATCAACGCACAGCTGATAGCAAAATCGCTGGCGTCACAGACCACATGAAAAGGTCTGTCCTGATCTGCAATCGCCAAGACGGGCGATTGCATCAAACTTTTATTGATGCATTTAAAACAACGCTGAAAGTCAGTGTTCCATGACCACTTCACACCTTTCTTGAGCAAGCAAGAAAGACAAACAGTCATCGCGGCGTAATAGCGCGAGCACTTGTGTAAGTACGCCGCTAAGCCAAGGAACTTACGAAGTACCTTGACATCGACAGGCACTGGCCAGTCGTTGATCGCCTTGATCTTTTCGGGATCAGGGCATACGCCGTGTTTACCCACGATGCACCCAAGAAGTGGTATTTCGCTTGCCGCTAATATACACTTCTTAAGATTGGCATACATCTTATGCTTGCGCATAAGTTGAAGGACTTAACGAACATGAGTTCTATGAACCTCAATGTCCGTCTTTCCGTCCATATCCCGGCTACGGACGAACAAATCGTCAAAGTAACTCGGTGCGAAATATCGCACCGGTCTCAACAGATTTGTGACACATCTGTTAAATGTTGCAGGGGCATTACTCAGCCCCTGTGGCATCAATAGCCACTCCCGCAGCATACCGCTGGGGGTGCTCACTGCTGTGTACGGTATGTCCCGTTCACGCATGAGGATCTGATAGAACCTATCCATCAGATCCATGGACGAAAAGATGGTACTGTTGGACATACCATCTATGATTACGTCCTTCCTCGGTATCGGCGTCTGAGCCGGTACCGTTGCAGCATTCAACTTGTTGAACGCGTGCACTATCCGCCATCCTCCTGTGTCTTTTCGCACACAGAGGGTAGGAGAGCTGTGAGGGGATGTTGATTTCCTCACATGCCCCGCTACTAAGCGATCGGCAAAGAACTTGTCGATCGCTAGTACTTGTTCACGAGGCAATGGCCACTGCTTCTTGACACAATACTTCGACCCGGGTTCGAGCTCGGTCCCGTTTCAAGTGCCTTTGTCCTTAGGCAACTCGCAAGGTACGGATTCAGGGAATACGTCCTTGAATTTGATCAAATCCCTCTACAAAGGATTTGCCCGAAGTGACCCCCAGGATTGAGACGTGTAACGCCCAATCCGAGTCTTCTCATCGAGGACACTTTCGTCCATCGATGAGCTGCTGAGAACCCGTTCGTTCTCAGCAAATACTGTTGCCGACCGAATGTCGATCACATACTCATCCTCTGTGACAAGTATGCAGATCTGCTTGACTTTGCCACTGAGCAGATCACGCAAGAACCGTTTCGGTTCTAGCGTCGGCAATTGAATTATCTCCGAAGTTAGTTTCGGGGGTACAACCAGAATAAGCGCGTAAGCGCCTACGCTTGATCCATCATTAACCAAGACATTCAATGTCTCGATTACTTCCTGAGAATTCACATCCACAGGGTCCAGGAGAGCTTTCTCCACAATGTAGTGATCAATTACATTGTGTTCGTGTACAGTCGTGCTAACGACCGTACCACGAGTGAGGCCATCTCACTATCTCGTAGTACACCCACGTAAATGTGGGCGTTCCAAGACATTCTTCAGATCGTCATCTGAGGAACAAGTAGCAGGTATCGTAACTAATCGATGCTGCCAGCTCACCCTTGGCTCGTATCTCCTGAGCCAAGGTAGCCATAGGATGATATCAAACTTGTCATCCAGGTCGAGTACAATGAAATCATCATCGTACTGTTCATCTTTTAACGTGTAGTGGATTACGACTACAAGTTTCTTCACAGTGATCGATGCGCCTGTCGCTAGGCGCACCGTCATTATCGTTGGAAGGATCTCCCGCTCCACGAAGTTGATTCTTCCAGCCTCTAGCGACTGGCGACGAACAAAAGTGTTCGACGTCCCACAGTCAACTAGGGCGCGAAGTGACAAGTCCTTTGTCACTTCCCATATCAAGGTGATGAGAGACACCTCATCACCAAGTGCAGAGACACACAGGGACTGCGTGTCGGTAGCAACCTTCGTCAAGATATTTACAAATTCTCTTGATGTTGCTGGATCAGTAGGGCGCTCCGCCCCTACTGACCCCGACCATATTTTGATGGTTGGTCTCGCTGTTGCGGCTTCGCAACAGAATCGGACCCTCGCCCTCCAGTTCTTCTTACTGGCGGGTGAATACTGCGCTCAGCACCTCGCGGTGCTGAGCGGGGGATACTGCATTCATATGCGTAGTGTCCCAGTTTATGACAGCGATGGCATCTCATCGATTGCTTGTCGTTCGCAGGGCGTGGTTTCTCGCCCTCGACATTCCAGAGGTCCATTGGCTCTGGACCTCCGACCGCTGATCGTCTATGCGGACGAAAAGGGGTCAGCGTAGTTTGAGCCTGTCTCACAATATAGTCTTCCTGCTCTGCAGCGAAGATTGCTTTAGAGAGCGTCTTTAGCTCTCCGCGAAACAGGTGGTCCCTGACGGGACCATCGGACAGCCCTTGATTGAATATCGTGATCAACACAAGTTCACTCACTGGGTTCACTACCATGCAGCTTGCAAGGTAGCGTACGTGCTGAGCGTAAGCGTGAACCTTACGCTTACCCTGTTTGATTCCAAGGAGTTCAGATAGTGTCCTGAACTCTGCTCTTGGCGGCTCAAACGTCTCGCTGAGCAGGGCAAGACGTCTAACGACTCGAACACGTTCGGGTCGTGTAACTTGAGATTCAGAGACCAATTCCTGGCGTCCCCTGCCAAGTTCGACTGATCGAATGCAGATTGCATTCGCTCATCGTCCATGCGACGGGTCTCGATGGCATCGTCGACTTCGACGAACCATCTCATCAGGGAGTCGTCCTCGACTCCCTGATACTTGGAGATCTCTGGCTTTAGAGACCCCGGTCGACGCTCCCGTGTCGACTGCGCGGACTGAGACTGCCTCAGTTCTTCGTTCCGCTAGTGATCTTGTTGTTATAACAAGGTCACATGCGCTCGAGACTCACTAAGTTCTCGTTGCAAGAACTTGCTAAGAATGGAATGCTGCTGGTCTCTATCCCTTGTGGATAGCATGGCCCAGATAGTCTCTTCGCCAAGGGTCGAACTCATTCGTTCGATTGCACTCCATTCGATATCGCTCAAATGGGAGTAGCTTTCACGGGTTCCGTGAAATCGGAAGCCTTCGACTTCGTCCAACATGTTCATGTTGGGAGTGTGGTCCTTGGACGGACTACAAAGTGCTACCAGGTGTAACGGGGCACCGACAACTACGTACCGGTCAACCAGTACGGATTTTACTATCCTTTGACTGTAGTGATAGTCAGTGCTCAACTAGGTGTAGAACTACACAGAGGAAGGTAGAACGACTAAGGTGAAAGACTCTAGTCGTAGAGAAAGTAAAATTGTTATTAATATAATTAAGTCCTATAACTCTTGTATCTCTGTTTGTCCTGACTTAATTATACTAATGTAACTAAATGTATGGTGACGTCTACTCACCACCCATTGCGCGCGTCTAGCAGCGATTGGTGGGTTGATATCATCGCGATATCAACCAATGAGTAGACCCTTCGATCATCTTCAACAATATCATCATTCTCTGTGATATTGTTGAAAGAATATTCATCGTAATATTCTTTATTGTCATTTTAGCCTTAATGACAATATCACGTAACGTGCTACCCCGTTACACTCACCCCGTTACATCCGAGGCACCACCTGACTACACTCTGTAATTATAGGTATCTTGTACTGTTTCAGTACAAGCGAGGAATGCCCCGTTTCATACGATGATCACACAAAGGCGATATCTAACACTGAGATCGGATATTTGTTTATTGACTATATTTTGCTGGTGCGTAAAGCTACCTGAATGGGATCGAAGCCCACCGACGTAGAGGTGTCGGATACTCGGGAACGCGATTTTTACACTTTGCACGCAATGACTCGTAAGGATCGTGCTGTTCGCAAATGCTTAGCAAGACGGTGTGATTGACATGGCATAGACGACAGGGAAAGTGGCTTGCGGGGTACTTACTCAGTACATAATAGCGATCAGTTGGGTAAACAAAGCTGGATGCTCGTATTATCTACGTGTTTGAGACGTCAGAGTCGCGAGGCGAGCACTCACATGAAGGTATATCTAACTAAGGATAGCTGAAAGGTTATAGTTTACGTGACCACACCCAGATACGTGTTATCATCTATAGGACACGTATGTGTGCCACGAGCGCACAACTATACCTGGACACGATAGCATGTGCAAGTAGAGAAGGTACGAACAAGGGATGTCCACAATGGAAGAGTGAGTCCACTTGTTTCGTCCATGTTCCTGACGTCAGGTCACACAACTATCGGTCAGTGCCGATCGAACTGTAAAATATATCTAGTGTTGTCTCTACGAGCCCAGTCAGTGATGATGGCTCTGAACAATAGCGGTGTCTAACAAACTTGGACTACCCAACTTCGACACATCGCAGAATAGTGTCATGTTGTAGCTGGGACCTATATCGCTCGAGACCGCTCGAGACCTATAGTCACGGTAGAAGCAACGGATGCAAGTTGATGCAACATTTGTGCGCGATCATGTCACAGCGCTATTCGTAAGAAGCTTTTGCTAGTTACCGTTGCCAAATTCCTTGTTGATGCCTCCTCTGATCCGAATGATATCTGCCGACATGGCTTCTCTTATATTTTGTCTTAGCTTCCCACACTCAGAAAAGCTAGCGAGAGTAGTCAGACGGGGTCTAGATTTGTCGACATTGCTAGGGGCCACACAAGTCCCACCTGCTCAATGTGACGCAACTGCACGCACGAGCGAATGTCGGCCAAGCAACGTTTCTTATTATTCCCATTTTCGTTCTACAATACATACATATGCAGTCTATCTATCGAGATCCTGCGCTGCTATAGCTAGTCAAAACCCACCGATGACGATGATACCATCAAGATGTCGCGCATTTTCCGCTGAAATCGCTCGGCGTAAAGTTTGGGAGGCGCCGCAGATATTCCCATGCGGTCGCGACGTAGTACAAGCGTTTTCCACAGACGCTCCAACCGCTTGCTCCATGTCCAAGTTTGCAATATGTCGACCACTCCTAGTGTGTAACAATCCGGGCCAACAACGACAGTCGCATGGTACTCGTGGTTCTCAAGAGTCCTCGTACCGACCCATTTAGAGCCGTCAGCTGAAGCAGAGTTTGTTCCAGCCAAACCGTACGAAACCACGTCGTAACGGCGGCCAGAGTTGTCTGCATACAGGAGGGGCGTATCGTCATGAACCGTGACGCCGATGTCGTCGGCTTTGTTTACGACTGAATAGCGGCAACTCCTGTTGAAGTTTCTACGGTTCCCACATTCAACCTCGTCTAAATTCTCAACGCCGGCATTGCCGACCGGATCCGCATCATCCGTAGCAATCTTCAAAAAGGAATCGCTATCAGGATGGCATACTGGGTAGCTCACCTTGCGCTTTGTCGGAGACTGTACCCTAGTACCAATTTCCGAGTGTTCGACCACGTACTTTGTGTTGTGCACACTTAGCATTAGGCTGTAGTCCATGATGCCTTCATCTTTCAAAAAGTTGCTGTCACTTTCGAGTTGACGAGCAAGTGCCTCAGCTGCAAACACACAAGAAACCAAATGTGTCTCAGTCATCCGCTAGACGCACCATGCATCCATGACATCGCACCAGTACCTACCGGTCTTTGCTTCCACTCGCATTTTCCGATGAAAGTCGTTGTCTTTCAACACAATGTGCGGTAAATGAATACCACGAATGCTGTACTCGCAGCTTTCGTTCGTACCATACTGAAACGCGTTACTACAGTACGTACAAATGACAGTTTTTCCTGGCGGAATCGGCTGCGACTCACCAAAAAGACAGATCCTGTCAGGTCAACAACATGTACTCGCGATCATGAAACGCAAAGATGCAACAATTGCACGCACCTTGGCATTGCGATCAACCCATGACCCTTTGATGTCGAAAAACTGGTGCATACTTGCTCGACCGATAACGTTTCCCATGACCACAAAACTGAAGACTTGTCCATACATCTCAATGGAGTGACAACCGTAGAACCGGGTCAAGTGCGAGTCTGAATTCTGCTTCATGTGACGAATGTACGCTGGCAGCATCTTCAACAACACGTTACGCTCGCTCGTTGTCACGGACTTCACCAAGAAAGAGTAGTCGGCGGTGTAAAACATAAAGGCACCACTGGACCCGCCAGACTCCAGCCGCTCGTGACAAGTTGCCAGGAACGCTTTGCGAAACAATATCTCGTTGATGCCAAACCCCTGTCGAATGTCGCGAAAAGAAGTCGGGCTGTAGTCATCAAAGCACACGGTCATGCCCAGCTCATGCAAGCGAAGGTGCACCACCCGTCGACCGTTCGTGACCATTGGGGTATTGGACGACGCGGCCACGATTCCTCTCGTGGTAAAGTGCAGCACTTCTTTCCGCAGCGCGACGTTCAGCTGTGGCTGAAGGTCAATGTTGACGTCGCTGTATCGATCCGTGTCAAAGGTTGTGCTCAAACGACCAGCGCGGCAGTCGACTTGTGGCGGGCCATTGATCGCCACCCAAATGACCAGGTCAATCAACCCCTTGGCTGCCTGCAGGAACGAGGAGGCGTCGCGCACGCGCTGGAGCGCGACAGGGCGATTCCGAAGGAACAGCACGTCGGCGATCCAGAACGAAATGAGGAATAGTTGGTAGATAATGTACGCTACGGTGAAGATCCGCGCGCTGCGGATCACGTCTTTCTTGGCTTTTAGTGCCTCGGTCATGCCTTTGAACGGGTGCGTCTGCGTCTCGAGGACCGCAAACATGACGGCACAGAGCACGGCGAGGATGACCACGACGTAGTACACGGCGAGTTCGTCTGGGTCGGTCTCGTCGACAAAGCAGGACGGATGGACTTCCGGGTCGAACGCCGCGCGCGAGAGCCACAGCAGCACGGCAAAGAGCGCGCCCACGCCCCAGGAGAAGGCGTGGTACCACTGCAGGTTCTGCCTGAGGTTCGTGAACGGGTTCGTCGCGCACTGGTACAAGTTGAACGACATGCTGAGGAACCAGCACTCGGACGAAAAGGTGCAGAACTGCGTGAGCGTCGCGAGCACGCGGCAGCTCACGAGCGTCGTCATGTACGCGTCCCAGCGGTACTGGAACCGCAGCGCGTAGAGCAGGTCGACGACCGACTTCCAGTAGATAATGGGGTTCGGGTGCCGGCACTTGCGCTTCCAGAGGAACGACAGCACGACGATCGAGCAGCTCACGAGCGAGACGAAGGCCCCCGTCTGCGTGAACAGCGAGTCGGGGCGCACGTAGTGCCGCGCGCTGTCCATTGCGGACGTCGGAGGCGTCGACGGGGACCGACCGACCGACCGACCGACCGACCGACTGACTGACTGACTGACTGACTGACTGACTGACTGCCTGTCGAGTTGAATTGCAATGCGCGACGCGACGACGAAAAGCGCAAGTGAAGCGAACAGCTGAAAGCCAAATGAATGGGACAAAGTGGTTGACGACTCGTTCGTCGATCGTCGTCGAGTAGGTGGGGTGGGGTGGGGTGACACGCGTATACACATATCTACATGGATATGTAAGTGGGTGTGGACAACCGTACATTTATGTGTGTATACACAGGTGGGGGCACATGTCCTGTAGTTGTTTGTTGGGGGGGGGGGAGGGGAAGCGGATCGACGGTCATGACTTGTGAGGGGTCTGCTGGATCGACGACGAATGAGGCGACCGACAGAAGTCAGACACGGGGGAAGTGCGTCGACAGTTGATGGCGCAGACGGGCCAGCTACGTAATCGCGACTCGTCGATATGTGCACATAGAGAGAGAGCGTAAAAGCGCCTGAGTTGGTTTAGGTGGGACAGCGCGCAGGGCTGGCACAGCCACAAGGAACGAGAGACCGTGAAGCGCTAGGAGTTCGCACCAGCCTCTTGCTGCGATGTCGTTGGGCCAGATACGCCCACGTAGATCGTTTGTTACAAGGGTATACTCGCGGTCGGTCGCGTCTCAGTCGCCTGCAGATGCGGTTACAATTAGTCGCTGTGGGTACGCGATAGACGCACGCGCCGCTGATTTGGAGCAAGTGCTCCTGCGCCGATAGGGCACGATTGGTTGGCCTGAGCTCGTACAGCCAGTTGTGCCTCCTTAGCAGCTGAAGACGATGCATGTTGACGGACGCGAACCAGAGGGAGGGAGGCTGGGACACGCCGGACTCGAGTGGACGTATGTCTCGAGGAAAAAACGGGTGTGTCTTGTCTCTAAACAGTCGGTCCTTCATGTAAGAGCTTTCTGACGGGCAGTAGTGACATCAACCGATTCTCTGTCACGTCGTTCCCAGCATCGTGAACGTCGAGGCGATCACTTGCTACTTCGATGGTCATCATCGACGGAGCTGCTGGTTCGGAGTCCGCTTAAGGAGCTTGGTGACAAGTTTAGCGATACAGTACGCTGCTTGGTCGACGTCTATGTGCTGAACTCATGCAGGACGATCTACGGTATCTCCTCCGTGCCAGACCTGCTTAGTAAGGACACATCATACTACCACCGCTGCTGTTGCTTGTAGCCAGGTATCAGTGTGAATGAAGTATGGTGTGCTCGCTGGCGAACAACGTGCACAACAAGTTCGGATCAGACCGGTTGTTCACGTGGGTCCCAATCATTCCATGACGGTATGAACGTAGGAAATCTCTCGCACCAGCTACGTGAGAAGGCTCTGTAGCACGGAGAGACTCAATGCAATCGTCGTTTCGATTCGGGTCGGCTTTTGTACCTGGAAAGAGCTATAGACAATGGAAACGTGGCACTGGTGTGCTGATCGGTGCTGATCGCGATCGAAGCCGTTGCGCCAATAAGTAACTTGGCGGCTTTGTGTCATGCGAGCGCATATCGGAGTGTCTCGTCGCTGTATGAGCGTAGAGTGGAGCAGATGATCGAATAGCACTGGTACGGCCGATTCGCTTCATTTCGTCTGTGTAAAGCGTCAAGCACTCACACAACGGCTCGGCTTCGTTTCCGTCCTGCTTTAGTCCGACGATACATCCTCGCACAATCAGCTCTTACAAGTGGACGCAAGAGAAAAACAGTCAGTCCACGCCACTGTCGGACCACGGAGCGTAAACAGCTCGTAAGAGAGCAAATGGTCACCACGTTGTTTACACAGACCGTGTCCCTCCTACAGTCCTAACTCCTCCTATTCGATTCGACGACAAACGGCGCGATCTAACTATGCGTCGCTATGCACACGATGCAGGTTTGCCAGACACGTCTTGACCTCAGAGTGACAAGAACCAGTCGCGCGTTTCACTGATGCCTTCGGAAAAGTCGTAGGATGCCGTGAACCCCAGTTTGGTCGCTGCTTTGACAGGAGAGCAGACCGACTCCTTCACGTCACCCGAGCGAAACGGCACGTGCTCAATGGCAGCAGACGATCCAAACTTCTCGACAATGCGCTCTGCCACTGACTGGATCGTGGACTTGACGCCCGTGCACACATTAAACACGTCGAATTCGTCACTTGTCAAGAGCATTGCCGTGCGAACGGCACGTGCCACGTCTTTCACGTACACAAAGTCGCGGTACTGGTCCCCGTCGCCAGTCACCTTCAACGTGCCATTGACCTTGGCCTGCTCCATGAACCAGGAAACAACGCCGCTGTACGACGAGTTGGGGTCCTGCCGTGGTCCATAGACATTGAAAAACCGTAGCGCTGTCGAAGCGAGACCGTAATCCTCGTTGAACTCTTTCATCAGCTTTTCCATGCGGAATTTCGTGGTCGCGTACGCACAGATACCACCAGTAGCTGTCTCTTCACTCAACGGCATATTCTCTGGAAGTGGAACGCCATACGTAGCAGCAGAAGACGCAGCTACGACGCGCTTGACGCCGTTTTTGGTGGCCCAGTCGAGCACCTTGCGCGACCCTTCGACATTGATCCGCTCGTACTTCTCGGGAAGACGAGTGCTTTCTTCGACAGAAATCGCAGCAGCTAAATGCACCACATAGTCGACCTAAGCAACGAGACAGTACGAAAGCGTGAGAACACATCAATACTGCAAAACCTGACCTGACCATAGTCAAGCACTCGAAAGCACTCGTGGCGTTCTCCGCACCTTGTGAACGATGAACGAAAAGTCGTCGACGACGGTAATGTCTTTCAGCAGCACAGATGCGACATCGCGGTTGAAGTTCTTGCCATTGCTCATGTCGTCGTACACAATCACCTGATCAATGCCACAATCGACGATTAAATGTCGTGCCCTTTTTGTGTTTAAAACAACAAACGAACGTTCTGCCGATCCACAATGGATGGCGAAGAAGAAGAAGAAGAAGAAGAAGGAGAAAAGATGAGCTGCCAAGCACTGTTTTAAACCAACCTCAAAGTCATTGGCCAGTAAATCGTCGACCACGTGGCTACCGATAAAGCCCAAGCCGCCCGTCACCAGCACCGTGGACTTGGGAGACACGTAGCGGCCGAGCACGTGCGACGTGGCGCCGCCCCTTGTGTGGTAGTAGCCCGACCCAAAGAGAGCCCCAGCGACGAACGTGGCCAGCGCACCTAAGTACACGTAAAGCTTCGGTAGCAGTAGCCAACTCGTCTCGGGGCGGCCCTGACGGCCGTGACGCGTGGGCAGCATAAGTGCTATGCCTCTTCTTGGCCGTTTTCGTACGAGTTGTACAAATTAGGTGAATAAGTCACGCATTTAGTCTTTTGTCCGAATGTTTAGCACATAGGGACACCCAATCGTGCCCAATTGCTCGATGTTGTACGACAGAGCGTGACCAAAACCGACTGACTGCTCGTTTTGGCATACGATGGACTTTTCTGTGGCTTTGGTGGAGTCTGTTTGGTAACGCCATCAGATTTAGAACACGACAGCGAATGTCGCGGGTAGAAAAGCTCTCGTGCGTACGAGTTGCTCGAAGAAACGGACGACCGATAGCGGCGATCGAACGTTTTGATCAACAAAGTCCAAGTCGAACGGACGTTTGCTGGAAAACGAGCTTAGTCCTATAGATTGGAGTGGCTTCTCTGCAAACGTTCACGCCACGTTCTTACTGGCGACTGAACTCATCACTTTCGTCCGATCATCTGTTTCGACGGCTGACTCGTTGTCGCGTACCAAGCAATCAGAACGGCTTCGGTCAAACGAAAGTCAACTGCAGAAACGATCTTGACCCCACAAGAGCGAGATCGTTGTGGCCATCACGTCACGCTATGGAAAAGCTACTAACCGCAGTAAAACAATGTCCAGACAAATCGTTTTCATTGTCTTGCTGCACACGAGAGAAACTTGTGCGGGTCTGCAGAATATGCAGAGTGAACCCGAGAGTAAGAACGAAAGTGCTGCGACAAACAGTAGCTTCGTCAGAGAGATACTCCGATGGTTTGCCTGTATGCGCTGGTACACGAGATAAGATGAGCTGCATACGTACAGCTAGAAAAAGCCAAGGAGAGCAACGTGGAGGACGGGTGCGCGACCAAAGGTCAATTTTTGCATGTTCGCGGGGCGTCAGACCGCATATAACTGGGACAGCGGTCTCGAAGCCTGTTGACGCAACGTAGAATGTTGGCTGGTCGGTGTAGAATGCTGAAGTTGCGATTGTGACAGAGCGATCGTCGGCGATTCACCCGCCAGAACGAGCCGGAGACATTGTTGTGGTGGTTTGAAAAACAACAACAGTGACCATGAAATTTCTTCCTGCGCTCTGGACTGGAGGGTTCTACGAGCTCGGAAGAAGCTTGTGGGGAGAGCGAAGGCACTCGCATCATACAAACGCGGTCAGGATGTCACAACAGGTCTCGACATGGCTGTGTGAACGGCAAAGACACTCGAGGTTGCGTCGATGGCATCCTGTGGCAGACAATCCTTCGAATTCGATGTGGATAGCTTTCCTGTGCGCGATACCATCCTATACTGTACAAGCTCTCCTTCTTATGCTAGCTGATCGAGATGCCGAGGCGTTGTTGCTAGTGATCTGGCAACTTTCGTGTCGTTCCGTTTGAGAATACATCTCTCTGGAATACATAACTCATATGACAGAAGCCACGCATGCGCGCAGGTCACATCTCTTTTATACAACGGTTTGCTTTCCCTTGACGAATCTACATTGAGCGGGGCGGGTAGCATGCAATATCGATGACAGCATATCTCGCTCGATCCCAAGCTTTCTGAACCCTTGCTATGACGATCGTTTGTCTCAAACTAACTGCAAACATCGAAGATCGAAATGATTGCATCATTTGTAGTTTCGCGGATTGTCGATTGACTGGGTAGGGAACGAATATATTTTCACACCGACATTTCGCTATCCGCCCATGCCTACATCGGTAGTCACAAATACGCACCGTCGATTGGCTGATGTAATCCGAAGGAAGCATTTGGGAACGCTGTTTTCGAGTAGCGCAGTAGATCGAAAAGGCGATACAAACTTGCGAGCGGGATCGTATTCGAAAGGTCTCGGGACAGCTCGAAAGAGTGAGCTAGAAGTGAGGAACATAGGAGCATCGACGTCGACACTAGTACTACACGATTTGCATCACAGGACGACAAAGTCTCGTAGTTGAGGTCGCTTCGCGCGAGTGTGCACGAGTTTGGCCTGTACAGGCAGGTCGACGGAGCTCGAAACCAGCGTCCAAATGAAGCACTGTCGGCACGTTTGCGATTTCGCAATGCCAAAGTGCTCTCTCATGCTCTCTCGTTACAGCGCTTGTAATTCCTGCACACTGCGCTACTACAGTATAAACTGCCATTCGTGTCATGCGTGACCCATCAGCTGCAATACTGAAAAGGAAGGGAGGTATGTTCCGCATGGCGAACACGTTCATCTGACCACGGCCACCTCGTCATGACAACTTTTGGTACAATATGTCGCACGAAGTGAGCGCTGGTTACGGGCTTCGCTCCGAGCTCGCAAAAGGTCGATAGACGTATGGCAAAGTCCCATCTACGCGTAAGTGGGGCAGATCTTTCCGTTCGTAACAAAAGGTAAAGCAGATTGGCCCTGCGAAGGACTGACCGTATCCGACGTCTCGCAAACGATCAGCAACAGATACCCATCGCACGTAATAATGCTCGGACGTCAATATTGCGGATCCCCAGACGTACACCGACAACTTTCCCCTTCCCAGTCTCGAAATGACAATATCGATCGAGTAGTCGTGCCTATCGAACGGAGGCACAGAGACGCATACCAGCGTGTGCGGATAGCGCCCAACCCCTTGACGACCATAAAGGAACGATCTATTCGAGTATCAGAAGCTGTATTTCCAATCTTGATGTAAACTGCAACAAACCACTTCACTAGCGCAATCTACTGCGAAAATGACATGATCCGCAAGACACAGCCCAACATCCTCCTGTTTCCTCCTCTCTCTCTCTCTCTCCCCTCCCGCAAAGCCGCCTGCACTCTCTCGTCCGCTCGTCAGGCTAATCCACTTGCGCGTTCCACTGGATGGCACAGCAGAACTGCTTACATCGGAGGAGCTGCGACAACCGCAACGGGAGCAGCAGCCACAGCCTCCGCCACAGCTCCAGTCGGAACGTTCAGCAGACCACGGCCGTCGTTGATACTCTTGAAAAAGTCGCCGAACACCAGCGAGATGATCGCCATGAGCTTCATCAAGATGTTGAGCGCTGGACCAGACGTGTCCTTCAGGGGGTCCCCCACAGTGTCGCCAATGACAGCAGCCTTGTGGATAGCACTGCCTTTTCCCTGCACAATGAGCTTGCCCTCCTTGTCCTCAATCGACACACAGCCCTTCTCCACAAACTTCTTCGCGTTGTCCCACGCACCGCCAGTGTTCGACTGCGAGATCGCAAGCTGCACACCCGAAGTCAAACTACCAACGAGCAGACCCGAGACGGCGTGGACACCGAAAAAGGTACCGGCAATGATAGGGGACAGCATCACGAGCAGTCCCGGGGGGATCATCTCGCGCAATGAAGCGTCGGTAGAGATCTTGATGCATCGAGCGTGGTCGGGCGGACCGTGGCCGGGTAGACCCTCGAGGAGACCAGGGATGGTGGCAAACTGGTGCTTCACCTCCTTCACCATTTCCATGGCGGCAACACCGACCGACTTCATCGTCATCGCAGTGAACCAGTACGGCAGCATCGCACCCATGAACAGTCCGGCGAACGTGATCGGCGACAGAATGTTAATCGACGTCTCCTCGATACGGGTCACAAAGCCGCCAAACAGAGCCAGGGACACCAAGGCAGCTGACCCAATGGCGAACCCCTTGCCAATCGCCGCAGTCGTGTTGCCAGCAGCGTCAAGAGCGTCCGTCTTGTCGCGCACCTCGGCCGGAAGCTCCGCCATCTCGGCAATGCCACCGGCGTTGTCGCAAATCGGACCGTACACGTCAATCGCCAGGCACGTGGCGAGCGTCCCCAAGAAGCCAAGCGCAGCAAGCGCGACGCCGTACATGCCCGCCGTCGAAAAGCCCACGTACACCGCAAGCGAGATGATCGTGATCGGGATGATCGCCGACTTGTACCCAAGAGCGAGGCCGTAAATGATGTTGGTAGCAGCGCCCGTCTCGCAGGCCTGGGCCACTTCGCGCACGGGCTGGTAGCTGTGCGAGGTAAAGTACTCCGTGACAAAGCCGACAATGCAGCCGCCCCAGAGACCCACTGCCACGCAGTAAAACGCGCGAATGGGAGTCACTGCGTACGCGCCGCCAATGGAAAACGTCGAGGGCAGCAGCCACATGGCCACGGGGATCACGAGCACTGTCATGAGCAGCGTCGAGGCAAACAGCTGCACCTTCAAGACCCTCTCCACGTCCTTCTCCTTCTTCACGGGCCACACGTGCGTGGCCAAAAAGCTCACGAGCGCCGACACGAAAATGCCCGTGGCCGTAATCACCAATGGGAACAGCACGGCCGGCCACCCAGCGGCAATGATCTCGGGACTCTGCGTGGAGATCACTAGACAGGCGCACGTGGCTTCGGCCAGCGACCCAAAGAGGTCCGACCCCATACCGGCCACGTCGCCGACATTGTCGCCGACATTGTCGGCAATCGTCGCGGGATTCCGCGGGTCGTCTTCGGGGATGTTCTCAACGACTTTGCCGGCCAAATCGGCGCCCACGTCGGCTGCTTTCGTGTAAATGCCGCCGCCCACGCGGCCAAACATTGCAATCGACGACCCCCCGAGGCCGTAGCCCGAGATGGCTTCAAACAGCTTCTTGTAGTGCGTCGCCAGCGGGTACTGCGTCTCAAAGACCTTAATCAGCACAAACAGCACGAGCAGCGCCATGGCACTCAGGCCAAAGCCCATGACGGCGCCCGCGCGGAACGCCGTGTTGAACGCCTCGCGCCAGCCGCGCGCGCCCTCTTTCATGGCCGACACAGTGGTGCGCGCGTTCGCGTAGACCGCGACCATCATGCCCATGTAGCCCGCGGCCATGGACGTGAGCCCGCCGACGCAAAAGGCGGTGGCATTGAGCGTGCCAAAGAGCCAGTCGAAGCGCGGGCCGTCGTCCTGTTTGTTCGTCAACGACGTGAGCACGAGCACAACGCCGCCAAAGACCACGAGGAACGCAATGCACAGCGTGTACTCGGCCAGCAGAAACGCGCGCGCGCCCTCTTGAATGGCACAGTAAATCTCAAACAGCCGGTCGGCCGTCTGGTGGCGCACGTCCGACGCCAGCAGTGCGTAGCCGTCGCCGCGGCGCGTGACGCGGACCTTCGACACTTCGTAGAAGAGGTACGCGGCGAACAACAGCCCAAACACACCGGCGCTCACGACGTAGGCGTACACTTCAAAAGCCGTCGTCATAGTGGACGAGCGACGGGGCGCGGGACGAGCGACTGCGGGGCTGTCGCACGCGCTGCAAAAGCCGAAATGAGCGCTCGGGGGCCGCTCGGAGACGATCGAGTGGACGCGCGGAGAGGACTCGGGGGCGGGCGGCAAAGATCCGTAGACTCGCGTACTCTATGTGGATACAAAACGGCTGATGAGTGGCGGAGCCTCGTCCCCTTTCCCCTGTCCATCCGCTCTGCGGCTGGTGTCGCTGGTGGATCCTCCTCGATCTGATTCGACGGCGAGAGCAGCGAGCCAGTGGCTTTTATGGTACAATAGGGAGAACGTTGGGGAAATGGGCACTTGTGCAGCGCGGCAGAATGACGTGGGCGAGGGAAAGGGACTGAGGTTTGCACCCATGTTGTGCTGCGACTGACGCGAACGGTCGGTCGGTAGTCTGGGGCACGATTTCGAGGTGTGTTTGGCGCGGGATGGCAGACATTGTCTCGTGAGAGCAGAGTGATGGAGAAGGACTTTGTTCTGGAACGACGATCGCGGACGCTCTGTTCGACATTCTGTTGCGTGTCGTCGTGAGACGGACGAAGACGTTGCTGGTCTACGAATCAACGACCGTAACTTCGGTACTCGTGTACTGCAACTGGGACGAGTGCTTCCTGCCCTCGTAGCTGCGACGCTGAGAATACGTGGCACAACCACTGCGGTCGTTGTCGGTGACTGACTGACCGTGTCCAGAGCCTGTACGGCTTAAACTTGCTCGAACGACCAGCCCCTCCTCTTCTGCCTGACATGTCCATGGTATACCGCGATGGTCGTGCAAGTGACAGCAACCTCACAATACACGTAGCGGTAGAGCAGGTGGTCCATGTCTTGTCAGGTCAAGCGGCGCAGCAGGAACCTTCTCACGGTCGCACTGAATGACAAAGGGGTGCTCTCTGTGGGCCTGTGATCAGTTGGCCCATTCCACACGAGAGTGTTTGAAGTGATGTGGGAAACCTCGTGGTGGATTGCAACCAAATTTCTAGACAACCGGTACCCCCGTGTTTCAGATACCGTGCAAGGCCGCCACTATGAGCTCCATAGTCGATAGGGCCAGAGCGCTGCTTACCTTGGTCGGACATGATGACACGTGCAACGGGATGTACGAGTGCTCGTCGTAACGGCTTTTGCAGCCGTCCGTTCGCATCAACAACGTGGACCTATTTTTCGGAACGCAGCTGCGTCAGCTGAAGTGTCCCCGTTTCTGGCCGACGTGCAGGTGTCCGGGTGAGCTCTACCTGATTTATGCCGGTGTGAGCTTATCTTCTTCTTCTTCTTGAAGTCTGCAGTAGCTTGACGTCCGGTCCATGAAAAAAACCAGTCAGGAAGCTTACGGCCCGGATGACCTCGTGAGGGATCGCAACAGCTTCCAGTCACCCGGCGGCGCATCTGCTTTGGCTGACATGGCGCAAGTCAGCGTTCACGATACGACAAAGTACGCAATGAGGGTGAACACCGTCTAGTGGTAGTCCATTGAGGATGCTACCTGCCATGACGCTTAGCAATGAATGGCAATGCCAGTCTGCAAGAGACCGATGCCGAACCAGACAAATCAGTGTTCTAATAGCAAGTAACGCCAGAGCATCGATGGATATCTACAACTGTCGCTGCTCCACTAGCTGGTGCTACAGAGTGTGGTTGATGCCAGATGCTTCCGGACTCCGTAGCACTCTTTGCAGTCAAAGCCTGCAAAACGTCGTGTGAACTGCCGTGCCGGATTACGATCCCACCGTTGAACGTGCCACACAATCAACGACAACTCTGACGTCCTGACCACTTTCCGATGTCAGACGATCCCTAGATGTCGGCATCGTCATCGTAGACATCGTCGTCGAGATCCAATACATCGCCTTCTTCCTCTACACCTTCAGCGTCAACCAAACGGTTCCGATCATCCCCGTCGTGCTCGACAAGCTGCGGAAAGACATCAGCATCATCGGTCTTGTCTTCCCCCGCGTGATAGCTGTCCTGACCAGAACGATGCTTTCGCTTCGGACGCTTCCACCTCCTGTCTCCCTCCTCCGGTTGCACAGATGGACCCTTCTTCTTCGTTTCTCGGTGCACGAGCGTAGGCGACTTTGCAAGCGGTGTTAGCCGATCGCTCTGGATGTGCTCGTCCAGGAACATGCCCACTGACTCGGCGTCAAACTCGTTACCACGGTACGCCTTCGCCGCTAGCACCTTTTCCTGCGTGGCCAAGTCACGCTGACGTCGAAAAAGCACCATGCGATGATCGCCCCGTCGGTACTCGGGGAGCAGCTTTTCCAGCGAGAGTTTCAAGCTCGTGGCATCGATCCACGCAAAACTCACCGTGCGGTGCTTGTACATGAGCGCGCGGATCCACTGCTTCTCATCAGGTCGAAACCGTCGACTTCGTAACACGAGCACGCACGTAGTTCTGGACAGACATCGCGCTTCCAACTGCGCCGAGTTTTGCACTTGTTGCATCGTCTTTTGTAACCGCGTCGCGACGTGTTTGGCCAATGCGGTCGCCGAGCTCAGATGCGGCCGAGCGACTTGCTTTGGTCGCTCGCCATTGGCTGAAATGAACACCGTCGGCGAGACCGTGGGCTGCAGGCCGTACTGCTTGAGGACCGACGTGCCCGACGGCAGGAGCGGCTGCGTGCAGTCCAAGACACCGACAAAGCTCTTGCCTGCGAGACGGGACGGCACCTGGTCAAAGGCGTCGGGCAGGACGTCGTTCGGGCCCGAGCACAGCACGACCCACGGCTCGCCCGAGCGAAACACGCGGTCCATGAACGCCGTGTCCGTCACTTCGAGGCGGTAGATGTGGTCTTGCGACGTGGAAAAGCGCACGAACGCCGCGCCGAAGAGCGCCGCAACGAGGGCGACAAGCGCCAGGAGCCAGTGCCGGTGCTCGCGCCACATGCGGTTGCGCAGGAACATCTTCATGTCGCGAGCAGCGCTCGACTGCGCCCCTTTCGCTTGGCCTCGGGCCATCGTTGGTGACGGTCGAGTGTGTGTGGTTCATGGGAGGGATACAGATAGAGTCGGGATAGCGCGCGCTAGTGGAAGCGAATAAGGTTCTTGTATACCGTTACGGAGAAAGATAGGAACGTGACTCCGCGATCGATTGCCAACGTAGACACTGTTGACAAAAAGGTGACCATTTTGCCGGTGCGATGTTTTTATTCCATTTGCTGCTACTGCTGCTGCGTCGGTGAGACGAACAGCGAGCAAAAGAAATGCAAAACAAACGGTTTTGTAGCACAATGAACGCACGTGCCAACTGACGGATCGCGCAAAAGACCGCAACAGTACGCAGGACATTCCTTCACTCATTCACTCGTTCATTTGTTCTCTCGATGCGCTCGCCTGTGCCGGACATTGTAATTGGACTCGTACTCAGCATTTCGGTTGGACTGGTCTGGAGACGCTGGAAGGGCGGCGAGATGGACCGCGTCAGTCAATACTACGCGTGGCAGGAAGGCCAAAAGATCAAGAAATCGCATGGCCACCACGACAAGTAAGTGCGCGCAACTCGACTGACGAAGCTGCGGCATTTGTTGACTGCGCAGACGATCAGAGTGTGCCGAAGAAGATTAAAAGAAGATGACACACCCAGAAGCACAAGATTCGCATATCATGTGCGACGAAGTTTTGACAGCTGGCGGAGCAAATACTGGAAGAGGTGGCGCCGAGTAGCATACATCTTTGCAGAAAGAAAGCGGAATGGGCGAAAACACATCACGTCATGATTTAACAAGTGCTTTTTTGCCATGTCCCGATTGTGGACCCCTATTTGACACGTCTTGCCCAAAATAGGTCAACTGCCACTCTCACCGGTCTCAATTCCTCATGACACGTCGTGTCCTCATTGTGGCGCTCGTGGCGCTCGTGTCGTGTGCCGTGACGGCCCATAGCTCAGTTGCTTTCGACCTGATCGCGGACCACGAGCACAAGTCGATGGAGGAGCTCAAGAGCGATGATACGGTCGTGCGCTGTCGCATGTGCGGCGCTCCTGTCGCCTACAAGAGGTGCGCGCTTGTTGCAGGGTCCCTGTTTCGTTGATTTTTGACCCATTTTCGACCCGTTTTTGCTTTTTTCAGCAACTATATTGATCTCCATGACACGTCCAAAGCGGTGGCCAGTCGCCCCGAAGCTGTGCTGGGCGACGGCGTCCAGCTCTATACATTTGTGGACCCGAGTCGAGTACGTACGAAGATGGTGTGGATTCGTACCCAAAATTTGGACCTAAAATGTGAAAATATGACCCATTGTTTTTTATTCAGGCGCAGTACGAGCTGGCAGGCTTTAAAGACGTGCTTGGAACGGAAGGTGACCTTTTGTCGAAAAAGGCGACGGTCTTTGACGACTACAGTTGGCGCGAGCTGCGCTGCAGTAGTTGCAAGCGCCATATTGGGTCGGTCTATCGTCTGCAATCATACGGTCGTGCCGTTTTCAGTGCATTATCTGATAACTTTTGTCTTCTTTTGTATCTGCTGTACTACTCAGGTGGGCGTTCTACCATGACGAGCTGCAAGAGTGCGCCAATACGCAACTGGTGGACTATGTCACGCTTGGCGTGCCAGAAGTGAATACGGCAGCCGAGAGAGAGCAGAAGATGGAAACTGTGAGGAAGGAGCTGGAAGGTCACTGTTTGCTGACTACTACTGGATGGTGGACGTACGAGGTCTGCTACGCACACGAGGTCCATCAGTTTCATGAAGAACCGGACGGGTCGCGTTCCAGTGACTGGAGCATGGGTGCGTTCGTGCCAGAAACAGGAGCGACCGATACGGAGTATACTGGCACGGACGTTACGCAGTTCTTTGCAGGAGGGCAGCACTGTGACGAGAATGGCGAGCTGCGCAGCACGCGAGTGGTGTACACGTGCTGTAAGTCCCGCCCGGAGCACACCATGGTGGAGGCAGTGGAAGAACCTGCCTTGTGCATGTACCTCATCCGTGTGTGCGTTCCGAGCTTGTGTGACAGCAAGTGGGATAAAGAGGAGGGAGCCATTGGTGGTGAAAAGCAGACTGTTGAATCATGCAAGGCAGCTGTTGAGGCGAAACACGCAGAGGCCGAGCTGCCGTCGTCGTTTACTGCCTTGCGCTGGTCTTCAGTCATCTCGGAAGATAGCGGCGAGCTTGACTGGGCTCGACGCATGCAGATAGTGGATTGAGGATACGTTTTGCCACCGTGAGAAGAAGCCCTGGTCTCGACCATGAATGATATGTTGTTTATGCTTGTCGTATCGACGATCGGCCATGCCACACTTTTGCTCGCACCATCGCAAAGCTGCAGAGTACAGTGCTACTACGTCAAGACCTAATCGGCTCCTTTTTGATCGGTGAGCTTGTGCTTTGTTCTATCAGGCAGCACAAGTTCGCGATGCGCTGTTCCTGTTATTACGCTGTATGTCACGTGTGCTCGCACGATACGTAGCATTGTTCAACGAGCTTATGTTGCTAAAGGCAGACGTCAGGGTCTATCCAGCAATCGATCGAGTATGTGGATGCACTTATCGACACAGATTCGGATCGGGGCAGTTTTCAAGCGCAGAAACTGACGTGTCGAACGTATGTGCCAACAAAACTCAGCAATGTGAGGTGCTCGATATTCATGCAGGAAACACGGAAGAGGTTTATGCGTTGAATAACAAGTAAGTCCATAGGCACCTGCCACCACTGTGACCCTTTGCGGGGAATGACGGATCCGACAGACATGAACGTATCGCTGATGAAGTAGTGTCTGGGCGGGACATTCTACAGCAACACCTGACACTTTTTTGCCTTCGATGGACGTCCGCAGGAACTTGCAGAATTGTTCGGCATAGCACATTGGTGCACACTTGTTCGCACTGGTTTGAGCTATCACCATGTCATCCAAATGTAGTGAGGCGGTGCACCGGTCAACAGAACCAGTGCCGACGAAAAGGACCAGCGATGTGTGACTTTGATCGCGACGTCATTGTCTCGTCCTTTTGCAGTGTCACTCCCGCGCCAACGAACACAAAGCGTAAGTTTGTTGGCGAGTGACAAACGTTGGTCAGTGAGTGTATGGCATGTAAGACCACAGCAACAACAACAGCAACAACAACAACAACAACAACCAGTAGTTTGTCCAGCCTCTTGTCCACTAGATTGCTGATCTATCAGCGCACTGCTTGAAAAGCGCATATAGAAAGTATGCAGTACTCGTAGCGCAGACGCAGGTCAGGACACATTTTACTCAGGGCAAAGCCCTCGCCATCAGTACCGTCCAACAAGCATCGACCGGATGTCTGCATGACCAATGGTTATGTCGCCTGAGAGATTTCGATACATGAGTCTGCGACTTGCAGCCGATCACATGTTGATATGCTGTCACATTGCACACACGACTTCAGCTTGTGGGCAGCTACTTCGGCAGATACATGCGACAGTGCAACGTACCTCTACTTCGAGAGGATGGAAAGGGACGCCTAGTGACTACTTGCACCTTGTCGTGTACGTCCAGAGCGAAGATGGGCGCTAGGTGCGAGGCGAAAGCCAGCCTGACACAGTCGATATGGTTGATGATCGTTTGTCGTAGTTGTATCCGATCGACGACCTACAGACATTTGCAGTCGAGCTTTACGTGGCAGAACAAACGACTTGGCTGGTCAGAGAAAGCCGAGTCGCGTACCAAGAGGAGATCACGCAACACGTTTGCTGCTTTGTCTCGTTGGCAAAACATTGTCGATGACGTGGGTCACCGCCAAATGATCGAAGAGAATGACGTCGTGCACTAATCTTTTGTCGTGACGACTGTAGTCGATTGACCATTTGGGTCCCCCAACGCACTGTATGGCATCAACTACAGCGCGCGAAGTTGCAATGAGATTATGCATTGTCGAGTACGATAGCTACAATGCGCTTGGCCAGACGGCTGTAGCGCTCGACATGGTAATTGAGGTCACGACCTGCGGCAGCGGGCATAAACGTATCTCTTCGTTTTCAAGATGTCATTGATAGACGCATCAACCTGACCAGAGCAACTCATCACAATCCATCGTCGCAACGACTTTCACTTTGTTGATGTAGATTGAACTGGTGGTGGTGCCCTTCGACCTCAATCGAATCGTGCATGGCATTTGGTGGTTACCATTAGCGCAGATATGCTCTACCGGCTGCATAAAGCGTGCCATCCTTGTAGATATTTCCTTCCAGCTCATGTCAAGTGTCGCCGGCTACATGTTGTATCGTACTGTCGACCTCGACGTGGTACTTGGTATAAATGGCTGTCTATCTTGGCCAGATAAACGAGCCTAGTCATGACGCTTGCTGCAGGCGTCAGAGCGTCGATCATGTACGTTTCTCACTACAAAAAAGCGGCAGACTCTCTGTGGTGCCACACGCTTCTTGTCGTGCACAACAAAAGTGAAGTACTCATCAAACGTGGTGCCGTATCGTCAACTGTGTCCTTCCTGCCGCGTAAATTCATTTGAGAGGACACTTTGGCGTCTGCACTCAACAAGTGGAAGGACGAGAAAACACCATCGTGATTCTCGATTACAATGCCTGTCAACGGGTAAAGTACCGCATCATTTCGTAGCACCTCTGACGAAGACCATCGGCTTTGTCAATTGTGGTAAGTGTTCTACCCCAAGAGCAAGTCAATTGATTGTATTGGTGACAAGGCATTGACAGTCCGTGATCTATGAGTTTGTCCGATTCACTCGGACGCTGTTTTGTGTTACAGACCTTTACAATGTTTGTCTATCTTCATTCGCTGACAGCGTGTTCTCTGTCGTTACTCGTTTTTGCTTTGTGATTGGCAATGAGCTCTGTTCGTTCTGTAGCAATGCCTGTTACGCCGCACGCATTCCGACCTTACCATCAGCAAAAATAATAGAGCTATTCTTACTGCAACTTCACTCCCATAGTCGCTCGAAATGTGCTCGAACAAATGAGGAAAGCACTCAATGGTTGTACGAACAAGTCTCAGCTGCGAAATGGCTGTCGGCTATTGCCACCAGAGGTGATCACTTGAAGGAATCGGCGGCTTTCAATTCGTCTGAGCTCAGCTCGGGCATGTCGGCGACCTTGAGCAGTTAGCAACTTGCAGGATAACGCGCTCGCGCACAAGCACTACAACTCGGTGACCAACTGCATCCGGATACTCACTCACCTGTGTCACACAACTCTGTATCGCAGCCGATGGGTCTGTATGTCAACATGTTTAGAACTGCACTTGCGCCTTTGACAGCAGCGCTTCAGTTTCATTCACCACGTGCTCGATCATACAGAAAAGTTTCTTGGTCTATTGCAGTCGTACCCGATGGCCTCGCGTTGGCTCTACAATTACACAGTCTTCTTGCTGTCACTTTGTTTCTTCGCTACACCGGCGGCACGAATCGTCGTTTTAACCTTTTTGACCAAAAGCCATGCGAGCACGAGAAGAAGACAAGGGACGGAAAGCAGAAAAGCACCGGCCGTTCCGACGAACAATCCGTGCCACATGTAGCGCTGCCAGCTTGCAACCGGGCGTGATGCTTGGCATTCGATGGCATCTTGCTCGGGAGAAGCTGAGCCCAAAGGTGTTGACTGGAAACTGTGCTGAAGCTTCACTTGGTCATCTGCGCCACGGACTTGCACCGTCGCGACTGGGTGTGGCTTGCGGTCCCAATCGATATCGATAGAGCCCCAGTTGAGATGGCCGTAAAACGACTGTTGCGTCAAGCGATACTCCCACGGCAGCAAAAAGTTTGCGTACGTGAACAGCAAAGCCATCACATACTTCACCGATGGTACATGGAACTCCATCTGCGCACGGACGTGCCAAAAGCGATGCGAAAGACATGTAAGATACATGGTGGGTGCAAATGAAGTCGGATCAACACGTACCCAGCTATGCGTCATGCCAGAGCTGGTGACCTCCGTGATCTTGTTCGCCCCATTCGAGCACACAACTTGGTTGATCTCAGAAAAGTGCACGTCGCCGCTAGAGACATAACACGGTATGGTTATCCACGCGGCAACGGACTACACGTGATTGACTTCGCCACACACCTAAGAAGAATGACGCCTTTTGCGTTCGAGGCCAAGAGCAACTTTAGCATCCGCTCGCGCTCGCTCGGGAAACGGCCCCAACACTCAGCAATCGGATAGCGATCGCCCGGAAGAATCTGAACTCCTGAAACGATGACATTGAAGGCCGCGGTCGATGTCCGGAGTTCGTTGCCAAGCCACTCCCACTGTGCTTCTCCAAGGAGCGTGCCGTTCTTTGTGCCGTACACATCTCGGTGGTACCTTTGCCAGACAAACGCGTCCATCAAGCGCACGTCTCCACAACACTGTCATTTCTGTGCTATTGCCGTACGTACCGGTTGTCAACAAGGATGAACTTGACTGTCTGTTCTCCCGATCCGATCGTGTACGACGTGTAAATGCCCTACAGACACTCGCGACAGCACTGTCACAATTCGAGTACGAGCAGCGCAGCAGCCGAATAGCTACACACCTTTTGTCGACGACGTGGAGAGTCCTCTGGCTCGCCAATGAAATCCAAAAACACCTCTTGGCTCTCGTCCCGGTACGTGAACAACTTGCTGCCGTCGTTGATGCCGTAGTCGTGGTCGTCCCAAATGCCAATCACGGGCGTCTGCTTCACGAACGCTGCGTAGTCGTCGTTTGCCATGAGTTTGCTGCGATCAAAGACACAGACAGACAGACAGACAGACAGACAGACAGACAGACAGACAGACAGACAGACAGACAGACAGACAACACACACAAAAAAAGCTCGTCAGTCTCTGTCAGACGCCCGAGACAGCACACGCGTTCCCCCTCTCTGAGCGACTGCGACGCACTTGTAACGGCGCACGAGTTCTTCCCGCGACGCCTCAACAAACATGTCACGTGGCCGCGTGTAGAACGACCGTCGGGGCTCACCCATCTCCTTCATGTCGGCGTAAATCTGCACGTCAAACGACAGGCGAGTGAGCAACGCGTCAGTCAGTCCACCAATCAATCAGCAGCGACACGGCCGCCAACGTGCTCGTCGGCTCACATTGTCGCCCATCCAGACCCAGAGCTCCGGCTTGTGCGCTGCGATCGTGGGCCACAGGGGCTGCGGAAAGCTCTGGTCGTTGCACGAGCCAAACGCCACGCGCTGCAGCGGGTGCGCGAGGTCTTGGACGCGGGGGGAGGCCAGCACAGTCAACGCGGCGCCTGTGGACGTTGCGGAGCACCGCGCAAAGCCGGCCACGGCCGCCAAGGCCACAGCAGCCCCTGCGGTCTTTCTCGACATGACGATGCGCGGGTGGGAAGCGAGAGTGAAGGTCGAAAGGGAAACCTCGGGGCGCAGAGTGACGGTCACTCGAGTCGAAGGGCAACGAAGAGTGAACGTCAGTGCAACGTCCAGCGCGCGCGACAAAAAGGAAACTACGCAATCCGACACGGAACAGACAAACGATCTTCCCTGGCAATTCCGATATGGCTACATTACTTATCGGAGACTCGACCACTGGTTCACAATCGAGCGACGCTCAACGTCACGTCGCACAGCTCCCGGCGACCGCTTTCCCCGCACGCCACGCGGACCGCAACCGCGCGGCAGCTCACGCCAGGATCTTCAAGACCTTGTCGAGCAGCGCGCGGGCTTCACTGTCCTTGGCGTGCAGCAGCTGTTGCTCAGCCTTTGGCAAGCGACACTCAAGCCGAAACTCGTCTTGGCGCTGGTCGACGTACGAGATCTTGAACCGGAGGCCATGAACAGCCACTTGCACCGTCGCCAACGGCTGCGACGACTTGATGCTCATTCCCACTGGAGCCGTGTCGCGCAGTGAGGCGTCAGTGGCAAACAGGTCGCCCGTGTCGGGCAGCGAGAGGTCGACATGGCGCTCAAAGTCCGTCCAGTCAGTCGTCGAGAGCTTCGCGCGGGTCGACGCGCGCACGCGAAAGGAAATGTCATTGTCCATAATGACGTCGTAGCTCCCCCGCACGTGGCGTCGCTGGTGGACGCTGTGCAGCGCCCACTGACCGTCGACGAGATGGTACTTCACCTCGCACAGCTGTCTGTCAGCCCGTGCGACCTGCAGCAGCATCACGTGCTGCGGCGTCACGTCCGTCTCCATCCACTCTTCGAGCTCGTCCATGAGCGCAGCCATCGCAGGGGCTGTGCGTGTGCAGAAGTTCGACCAGCGCGTCGAGAAGTCGTCGTAATTGCGCAGGCGCTGGAGCTCTGGCCACGCAATGGTCGCACTCTTGCACCGCATGGACCGCAGTTTAAAACACGTTCTCCCGAATGCCACTTTGATGGTCGGCGGCAGCTCGGACGGCTTCTCGACCAAATAAGCCATAACGCCCGCCGTATCGTCTGCACGGAACTCCTGGATCCACGAGTCATCTCGACTCGCAGTTTCCACGGCCCGTCCCGACTGCTGCAGACGATATGGATAGGCCTTGACGTGTGCATTACTGGAGTCCTCGAGGTCTTCGTGGAAGGACCATGAGCGCGCGGGCCCGTCCCTTGCGACGATGTCAAAGACCCGATCTTTCGTGAAGGCAAATGTCTCGAACAACCCCGTGAGGTCGTCCACTGCGCGCTCAATGCCGATCCTCGACCCCTTCAGTGTCACTTTTCGGTCGGCTACACCTACAGCACAGCGAACGCCGTAGTTCTCGCGCAGCGCTTTGCAGTAGCTGCCTCCTACGCCAATGACGGCCCCAACTGGAACATGGTCGGGAAGCGGCACGTCACGGGCATTCATGTCGATACGGTGGCTTGAAGCAGAGGATTGTAAAGTGAGGCAGACACGGAAGCCGGCGCTGTGTGGTCAAGCAATATCGGGTCTAGCTATTGCTCGATGGGTGGAAGGTGCCAACTGTTGGCCATGTCAACAACTGTCATCGACACCACCTATCATCGAGTCGGCTTCTCTCAGCGAAAACGCACACCTATAGCGCGTCAAGGACTCAGCGTTTGTTGAATGTGGCCGTGCTATCTATTCACGCTATCGGGCATCTCGCAGCAGAAAGGAGTCGCTTGTCGGAGACGCCACCCACCTCAGTCGCGCTGGTCATGTGTGCATCGAGCGATGGCTTACGTTGTGCATTGAGCTGGCGATTACTGTACGAGATGTGCAAGGCATCATTGTTGCAGCGCGTGCTCAGTGCGCTGATGAGTGAGTATCATCACAATGGATGAGGTTGTGTCTGGCACGTGTATCACGTGACTAATGGGATGACGAATGCATGAAGACGCGGCAGCTTCGAAATGCGGTGACTCGCTCGATAAAACATGCACGTTTGTTTCGTACTGAAGCGTGCGCCATGGATGAAGGCTACACACAGAGTGCTATCGGACGTCCTTTTGGCTCCGTTATTGCCAACACGTTTGATCCAGATGGCGAAGGCGTGAGCAGCAACATGTGTTCAGTCAGCTGGCGTCAACATCATACGAAGAGGAATATGATGCGCGGCGCAAGTGACAGATTTTGTACACACTTCGACGAGCGTGGACATGAAAGGTGCAAACCTTTTGTTTGCTCGTTGAGGTAGCCAGGTATGCCCTGTTACGCAAGCCTTACCGCCAAGGTTGCTGGTATCTCGATCATGCGTTGTTCGCACTCTACTGAAGTGCGACCAAATGACGTTGACAACAGCACAGCTTTCTTCGAGCTGGCTCATTGCTTTTTGATGTACCAACCCGTTACGCGGCGCAACAAGCCGTCATGGATGGCGCATGTGTGAACATGTGTGAACCGACTTTTGTGACTGGACTACTACAATCCAAGCAATGACTATACATGTAGAGAGTCATACCATCAGACAAGCAGATGTGCCGGTATGTCTGTACGTTTGCTAGAGGGACGCAAAATGCATCCCAGCTAATTTACTTGGACGTAATGGAATGCCGACACACAGCCTGAAGCAGATCCGTCACTGGACAAACGACACACCATCTACAGACTCTGCGGCACATACTACGGCGTGATTGTTGTGCCATGCGCCACGGCTGCCTTCGTACCATCACTCGCGTACGTAAATAAATGGCTGAAACCGTCGCGAATGTCGCTCAGCTTAGTGTTCCTGTCGATCCTTTATCTCTCACTGCAAAACGTCGTCAATCTCCGTAGCCTTTGTGCGACAGCGGAGATTGTTGAAAACGAGAGTGTCGTGCTAAGTGCGATCGCGCAAGAGCGCGCGGCACGACGACGGGAATGGCGGCCATTGACTCTGTGATTGCATTGTGCATACATTGTGTGACACAATATGCGGGATTTGCAGATCGAATGGACAGGAATGGTGGAGAGTAAAGAGTAGAAAAGGCATAACAAACATCAATGTCAGAATCCTTTTACTACAGTGCTAGAGAGTGCTATCTCTCTCTCGAACAGAGATACGCAATGGCCCTATGCAACGTACACGCACTGCTCGTCTCTCGTGACAGTCGTCCCACGTGGTGTATCAATTTCTATGTAGAACATGAGACAGTCCGATTGCGCTGTCATGTTCGAACAACTATTAACCTTTAGATCGAACAAGTGCCAACATCTTTATCGAACGACTCTCATCTATTACTTCGTCAGGCCGATGTCAAAAGCTGAACATCGTAATCACTAAAAAGCCAACGTGTCGAAAGCTGGGCTTTTGTTCTGACCAAACAGTGGTCTGAGCATCGATTATGCTCGGTTTTGTAGGAATGCAATGCAATTTGGGAGATGGTGATTCCTTGTCATGGGATGAAGAGATGCTAAGCTCAATGAAGTATGTAATGTGCCTGATAGAGGCTATGCGTGACAGGAAAGGCAGGTAAAAAGTATCGTAATATGACTTCAGGTTCCCCAATCCGAATGAGTGCGATCAGCTGTCGACGAACCTCGTTCAAAATTACTGCAACTGTCCCGCACAGATCGCAGAAAACTTCTGTCGACATCAAAGACACGCGATGTTTGATATGACCGCGAATTCGATGTTATGAGGTTGCATCATGATGTTTCATCTTGCCTCGTCAACCGAATGTTCACGCTCACAAAAGCGCTTTTTGCTTCTCTAGGTCAGCAGTGCGACGTGGATTGTCTCGCTGCTAATTCCGGATGGAGATTCAGGCTACACCCTTGTTATCCTCGACACGTGTTGGTACGTGCGCTTATCGCAGCTGACCTTTGTGACACCAACTTCGCTACGCCTTTTGCGGGCTAAGCAGTGACCGAACCTGTTGAACGAGCAAGTTTCGAGATGATGCACTGAGTTGTGCGGTGTGAACAACAATCGTGAATTGTCATCTTAACACGGAAAATTCACTTTTATATTTCCATACCGAGCAGACTGGGAGATAGCTAGGTGATGTACAACCTGATAACACTTTGGTTCGCATCCAAGTGTCGTATACGCTCAAACTCTACCGGGTCGTGAGCTATATATCGTTGTCAAAGCCGAGGAATAGTCGTGCTGGTCGAATAAACGATTTCGCTACTGTCGTTGCTTAGCTCAGACTGATATCGCGCTAATGTAAAAAATAGATTTTGCAAATCAAGGCACAAAGCTGCATCAAGCCGCCATGACCTGGTTTCTTCTTCACATCGATGGTCAAAAGATACATCAGACTCAGACCAACGCAACGTAACGACAACAGAGTGGTGTCGGCAGCAGGCGAAATCGAAAGTTAGGGTGACGTTGGTGGAGTGAAATCGTTAGGAGCAAGAGCTGGTCCGGCCATTGCCCTTTTGCCACTTGCTTGTCAGCCATATGGCCGATTTGTCACTTTTACGCATTATATGTACAAGTAGCGGGAGTGACTTTTGCCACTGCAGCTTTTACTCTTAGCAATATCACTCCACTAACGCCGCCATGACGTTTTCTTGCATGCTTTACCGGTATGAGTTACTTCAGTCTGCTGTGTGCAGCAGTCCATGACGCTCTTGCACTGAAAGACTGTACCATATTCAAGCGCATGCTAAACTTGCTTGCTGCAAGGGACTGACTTGTCCTTTTGGCATCTCTAGCACTATCACGGCTGGCATGATGAGAAATAAAACAAAGGGCTAAGCGACGTTAGCTCAGGCTGCAGACAACGTGCGTGTACGTTGCGATCTGTCATGCCGCAAAGCGATGCCTCCAAGACACTCTTGTCACGCACCAACGCTGCAGCAACAAGACCGTAGACAAGATACACCTATTGCTCTTTCTTCGTGGCAAAACGGCCCACGGGCGGGGCCACTTGTTTCTCGTCCTCTTCTTTCCACGCCGACAGCACGTAGAGCCCAATGACGACGTTGACAGCAAGCACTGCTGTACATCCGCTGCCGAAACAGAAGAACAGCACAAAGACCGTCGTACAACAGAAATGGCAACAGCGACAACGAGCAAATGCTTCACAAGACCCAACGAACCTCCAGACGTCCGCGTACTGACTTCCCGGCTCTCCTACAGATAGACAGACAAATACACACACACACACGTTATCAGCTACGCTACATCTACGATAAAAATTCAGGCACTCTCGAGAACAGCCACTGACTGCACTTGATTACCTGGTGTAAAGAAGCTGCGCACACTGTAAAACGTGCTCAAAGGCACGATGACCATCAACATCGAGAACGTCGCCAGTTTCCTGAGCACCATGTGGTTGTGCGCACGATTCCTGCGATGTACGTCAACATCCAATGACAAGAGAGTGAGTGGCGTGTCGCATCTTCGTCGCCGATTCGAATCGTCACGCACTCCCTACTGCGCTGCTGCAAGCCACACACGCTCGCGGGGTGGCCGGACATCTTTGTGTTTGTATGCACGTTCCGTTTGAGACGCGCTCGGGCTTTTTGTGCGGTTGGTATGCAAAAACAGAGGTTTTTCTTGGTTTTTTCCTGTTTCGTTCCGTGACAAGTTCGACTGGGCTTTGCCCATTCGAAAAAAACAGGTAAAAAACAGGAAAAAAACAGGCCGCAGGATGGACGTCAGCGAGCGGCTGGAAGCGCGACGTGCGCGCTTGGCGTCGTTCTGTCACGTGGACCCCGTGTTGCAGCAATTTCGTCTCCAGCGGTACTACCAACTCGCACGTCAGCTCTATCGTCAGTCCGAGACGTACTTTGCCGAAGGCGCGTGGGACAACGCGTAGGTGCAAATGGCTACCGACCATTGAGGTTCTATTTTTTAGAGCGTTTAAAACACCAACAGTATGCAGCAACTTACGTGACGATTGTGTTTTTTTGTATGGCTCGTGGCGGTTATTGTTTTTGTTTTGTATCGACTTTGTGTACCCATTGCTCTGTTGCTGCACTGCTGTAGGTACGTGTTCCTGGCCAAGTTTATCAAGTACGTGGCACGCCGACTTGAGAGAGAGAGATAGAACGTTTATTGGACACACACAAGACTGACGCTTTTCTTCTCTTGTTTTTGTGTGACACGCGGGCGTGCGATTGCAGACTCTGTTCCAAGGTGATCACTGCTCATCAGGACTACGACCTGCCACGATATGGCAAAGAGAGTGCGTGGGTGCGAACGGTATGTTGTCCGTCTTGGAGCAGAGTGGGACGTCTTTGACTTTGCTTACTATGAGCTGTCTGCTTTGGTCTGCTGTTAGCAAGCAGTGGCTGGATCGAAGCTGTTTGACGCGATTCTTGACGGCATGGAAGCAGAGGAGCTCGAGTACTTGGAGTACGAACGTTCACTGATGGAAGAAAGAAAGGAGGAAACGGTTGTTTCTTCTGCAGCAGAGACGTCAGCAATGGCTGCGCTGGAAAATCGTCTGCAGGCAATGCGTCTGGTGAAGAAGAGCTCAGATCGGCCAAAAGTGCAGGCAGCGGGAGCAGCAGAGAAGGAAGAATTGACGCCGACTTCGATCGCGTCTCGGTTGGACTACTTGTTTGGGTCGAGTCAAAAGGTGAGACATGTGGTAGCTGTGTCATGGGCTCACGTCGTTGCGTTGCAGTTTACTAAGTCTGTGCTGCTAATCGCAGGAACAAAGAAATGCTGTGCTGTACCCTTCTGTTGGGAAGGCATCGTGGATGACGGCTGATGCGAGTCAGCATTCTCATTGTCTTGAACCGCCACTAAGTCGTCGTCGTTCACAAGAAGCGCTCGCCAACTTGACCAGGTGAGTTCATGTTATCGTATCTTGGCTACAACATGGATGCACTAACGTGGCTGAGCAGTGGAAAGATTCGCACGCTGGAGATCCCAGCAGGAGTCATCACTCAGTTCATATCGCTTGCTGCGCCGAATACGAATCGGCCACCCTACGGGATCGAGACCTGTGGCATATTAGCCGGAATATTGGTAAGGCGCTTAGTGGTACAGCTATGCAGCCCAGTGTCACTAACTGCTCTGTGCTCTTCAGCGCGATCAGAAACTCGTGATCACGACACTGATTGTCCCGAAACAAGAAGTGTGTGAATGCCAAGCTGAATGTCATTCGTTTCGTGTCTGACCTGCGCTTATGCATGTCGTGGCAAGGGATCGTCGGACATGTGCACGATGACGAACGAAGAGGATCTATATGACTTCTGCTTCAGTAATGAGCTGCTTACGCTCGGCTGGATTCATGTAAGCCTTGTGACGTGCTCGAGTGTGGATTTGGTGTTGTGTTGCGTTATTCACGCCGATCCCACTATTTATGAACTTGCTTCCGACCAGACGCATCCGAAGCAGAGCTGCTTTTTGTCGTCGGTTGACGTCCACACTCAGTGTGGCTTTCAGTCGATTTTGCCTGAGGTACATCCGATCATCTTGCTGAGCTGGCTGTGCATGATACGAAGCGCCCACAATCGCTCTGTTTAAACGAACTTTTAGGCCATCGCAATTGTTGTTGCCCCGTGCGATCCCCACAAGAAGTACGTAGTCAATTGAAATATGCGCTGATATGAGCAGAAAGATGGATGTGCTAATGGTTCGCGCGATATCGACTCAGCGTCGGAGTGTTTCGGCTGACAGAGCCAGAAGGGTTGCGACTGATCCAAAAGTGTAACCTGACGGGGTTTCACACGCATCCGAGCCAGATTGAGATCTACTCGGACGCATTCGAGTGCCGTTGGATGGAGCAGGTGACAGCGCAATTGGTTGATATGCGGTAGGCGAACCCGACGGGAAAACTGCGCGATGAGTGTCGTCATGTAACTAGCCGCCTCGACTGTTCAAGACGTGAAAGAGGAATATAAAAGTGCGAATGAAAGCAGTCTTGTCAAGCTGTCGTATCCGTGCGTTGTTACTGTCCTCGATCGACCCCAACTACCACCCGGTCATCCTCGCGTCAGACTCTGTCAATACTTTCAGTCCCTCCGTCGATCAGTGCTCAGTCTGTCGTCAGCTGGCACTTCGATCACATCGTCAAGACTTATATATCGTCTGCGTCGTCGAGGTTCAGCAAGACCTTCTCCATGCCGGGTTTGAACGCAGGCTTGCCCAGAAACGGACAGCTACCGCATCGGAAAGCATCTCCCTTGAAGCACTATTGCACGCACAACAACACGTTCAGTCTCGCACGTCCCCGGAGCGAAAAACAGGCACCCACGACAAATCGTACGTTTCCACATCCAGACACGAGCTGGTTCAGATCCTTCTCCGACATGACTGGCTTGTCTTCGCCATCTTTAAGTCTATACAGCACACACACGAAAACACAATTGCAAGAAGCCATCAGTCCATTTGACACATAGCACACACGTGACGCCTCGATCCCGAGAAAAACAACACGGCAAAAACACTGCGTACCCGCAAGTGCAGTTCTTGCACGCGCGCTTCTTTGTGCCTCCGACCTCCCCGCACTCGGCCTTCGCCGCTTGCAGCACCTCCTCCGTATCGTCGAGCAACGTGTCTTCGTCCACCATATCGTCCTCCTGGTCGTGCTCGAAATCATCGGCCAACACGGTCCACTTCCTGATCGCTGGCGCACGTGCCGCCTCCGTCGTCGGCAGCGTCTCCTTCTTCTCCAGTGGCATCACAGCGCTCTCCAGCGACTGTTTCGTAGCGACGCAGCAGACCGCCGTGGCCAACTCGGGGTACACCACACGACTGGCGGCCGACGAGCCAAACGACGTGTCGACAAAGCCGCCAATCATCAGCGCCATCAAAACCGCGTTCTTCTTCTCGTCGTCGTCTGCGCTCACGTTGGCCACGTGCAGCTCCAGCACACCGTCCGCCTTCAGGAGCGGCAAAACCGCACTTAAGTCCGTACTTAGCTGCTCGATCGCGTCGTTATAGCACACGACCGCGTCAAACGTCTGCTGCGTCGCGATCGACGCGCTGGCGATCGTGCGCGCAATGTCCGAGTCGGTGGCTACAGACAGAGCCGTCACGTTTGCCGCTTGCGGGTGCTGTCGCTTGAGCTGCTGCACTGCGGCCTCTGTGTCCTGCGCGCGCGTCAAGAGCGCAATGTCGCCGTGCAGAGCCATTCGAGACAAGTGGTCGAGACGCGAGCACGGATGGATTTCAGTGTAGAGCGTGGCTTATGGTGTGTCTGAGGTTGCGCTTTCTGGTGCTTATACGTGGTATACTGGATGCGGGTTGGCGTTGATACTGCTTTGTTTCTAATCTCGAAGGATGCTTAAGTACGCCAGTAGGCTCTGTTGGTAGAATCGAGCAGACTGTAGCCATTTCTAATTCCCCGCCTTTGTGCTTTTGTTGGACCAAAACACCACGAGCCAATGAAGCAACGAGTTCTACAGTGCACACGTAGATGTGGAACACTTTGGCTCCACTGAGGCACGTAAAGGCGCATGGACGAGTGGGGGATTCATTCGATCCGAATTGTACTAGTACGGTAAACACATGAAGAAGTCTGACCCGCAAGAACTTCAGCGCTATGGTCGATTCAGACAGATACTCGATGATTAGTCGTTCATTTGACGTTATACGACACGCATCCCAAACGTCATTAAAAAACTCTAGAATCCTTTGGCTTTGGTCGATCAACGTCGCCCGTCAGGTCTCGATGGTCATTTGAGCGCAAGCTTGAACGCAAGCTTATAGGGTTCAACTGCCTGGAAACGAGTGTCAGGATTGGAGTTACACTCTCGCATCCGTTTATGATCGCCACTTCGGTACGAAAAAAAGCTGTCGCTTGAGCCATCTCGATACTGGTTTGTTGTGCCGTCAGCATTTCGTCATAACTCGCGTGAGTGAAGTCGCCACATGGCAACTCGTCTGTTGTAAGACCTCGCCGCTATCCTAGAATCGCATTCGGTCTACTCGGTAGTATGTGTGATGACGGACGGACAGGTTGTGAGCTCGGTTCCCTGGAAGCTAGCAACCAATCCAATAGTCGGAGGGAAAATAGGTGGACCGGAGCGGCAGGAAGGACATCGGAGCAGCGCACACTTGATATGGCTCACGCGTGAAGGTTCCTCATGTATCCGGCAAAGTACAACCCACGCTTATCAAGCATCACGCTCTCCGATGATACGAAAGCTTCTGTCGATTGTGCAAAAGAACGTGATGGTTGATCTATGATCCCTAAACGCATCTCGAGAAACAAGACGCGAATGCTTCGACCATTGTCGAGAGATAAATTTTCGATTGCCAATTCTACAAGCCAAGGACGTCTAAACAATGACTGATACTGTAACGCGTGATCCATCATCCTTGATCAAAGCCTGGTATGAGATCACGTGCACCTACTCTTGGCGGCGTGGCTACCAGCTCGTCCTCAAGCAGCTTGTAACACCCGTACTAATCGCTATCCCTTTTTTCTGACCGTTCATGTATCAAGTATCGATGCGGTAGCTCGAGTTTCCTCGACGTCCGAACCGGCATGTATGGCAACCCGATGTAGATATGCACCTGCATCACGTTGTCCTTCCATAGAGCTGATGCATACTAACGAAGATTGATGGGTACGTCCGTGCTTTTCCCAAGTCTGTACCTGTGATACACCAGCCTTTATCTGCGACTTCTTAAGTCTGTTCATATAGTGGTTGCTGGCTTTGTTAGCACAACGGATCGCGACACATCCCCTTCCTAATGCAGGTAGCTTCCACCGCGCGATCATAACATGTTTGTCATGCTTGCGTTTTCTCGCTCGACGTTCCTTTCGAAATCGAGGACAGAGGTCCTCTTCCACGCGCACATCGTTTTCTGTAGTGTCTGCATGTACTGCACTTATGAGACAGCTGATGTTGTTGCAGTGGCGACAACGATTCTGTCGTCGACTAGCGCTGCATTCTGTGATTGCATCGCAACACCTTCACGTCGTTTGGATACGGTGTCGTTCGGACAGCGCGCGGATGACAAGTAAAGAGTACACAGCGCCTGCATCGGTACTGAACCCGGGGTCAATTTTATGCATGTGCACCGCCCTCAAAGTTGCACTTGTTACTGCACCACTCACTTGCTGACACATAAACTATGTAGCTTCGTCAAAAACGAGAAAAAAGTCAGTACCGTTCGTCCTGATGCAGTCCGACAGAAGCTCGTCATGTTGCAAGAGCTGTCTTGACGTGAGACCAATCATCTGGACTTCTTCACCTAGTGGCGCTTCTGACAAGACAGTTGAGCGTAGCAGCTGCTTCAGGGCAGACACATCCTTACACGTGTCCAAGTCTACACGGACGTTAACAAGCTACATCCAGTAACAGTCAATAACAAGTACCGGCAACCTGCTCACGCACACGAATGTCAGGAGCATAAGCGTACCTCAGGAAAGCACCGATTCCATACAAAATTTAACGCAATTTGCCCCGACAATTGGCACGAGCCACGTGCATCGGGGTCAGAAGTTTCAGCATCGAGTCGGTCTTTCCCACTCGGTATGCAGCTAACATCAGTCCCTTCCTCATCAGCACTGGCCATTGCAGAGGCAGCCTCATCCGTTCGATCGACACCCTTCAGCTCAGCACTGTCCATCGGCGACATCTCGCTGACGCTATCGCCTGATCTCGACCGCTTCGCGCAGACGCTTGCACTCGACTGCTCGTGATGCGTCAAGTGTTGTCCCTCAGCTGTCCGCTTGCGATTGATGTGGTTCATTCTTTGCATATTCTTCCACTTGTCCTGAGCAGCAGCAAACACTATTCGTCATCACAAAGACACCCGAGACAAAGCCAACGCCCGTGCGAGCAAAAACGTATCTTGTCGTACCTTCAAGTCCACGTTGGTTCGATGCTTTGAAAAGACACCGTGACCGCTCTGCAGGATCTTCTTCCACTTGCCAGTGCCGTACTTTGCCACGCCACGGCAAAGCATATGCTCTTCGTCGACACTCCAGAAAAAAAGTCGGCCGTCGCCCTCTGCTCACGCCACCTCTCTACATAATGAGCGCAACTCTTCGACTCCCCAAGCGATACTCGCATACAGAGTCCACGCACCCTCTTGAGCCAGTCGTCTTCGCTTGTCCTACTCCCTCCGTCTCTTCTGCCTCGAAGCTGTTGTCAGAACTAATTGTCTCATTGTCCACGTCACTATCGTTTACGGGACAGTAGTCCACGTCACTATCGCCAGCGTTGTCGTTCACGTCCACTCTTCGCGTCGATACAAAAGAGACGTTGTCGTCACTGGATAGAATCGACATGGGCATGTTCGAGCCCGACGTAACTGTCGGGGCGTCCGGCAGCGATTGTTTTTCGTGCTATGGATTAATACCATTAAATCTCCGACCGCACTTGAATAACATATTGAATTTATTGACCAATAGTGTGAGCCTAGTGATATAAAACTCTTTTTTAAGGAGTCAAATTGCACAAAGGCAAAATTATATCCAATCAGAGAGCAGATGGACAAGTACAGCTCTCTCAGCTACCTCTCCGACGTATCAGGCCGGAGAGAACAGTGCTGTGATGGTTATCACTATACAAACACCAAGTTATTCGCATATTTTAAAAATAATACACAAGCTCCGACATCTCCGACAAAGGGTAACTCAATCGCATATTTTACAAACAACATCCATGCTTTATCATCTCCACCGAGGATGAGTCCGACCGACCTAGCACCTGCCAACACAAAGCGTGCCCGTGAGAACGCAGCGCGCTCATTTTTAAAGTTCCTCGAGCAGGAGAAGGTTACTTGGGAGTACCTGCAACAGTGCATGCAGCGCGAGAGGACACCTCTCGCACTAAAAGCTGTGATGGACAAGTTTGGTATGTATCTCGCGTTCAAGGAAAGCCGAAAGGGACAGCTCTTAGCTCGACACTCGGCCATGCAGTACTTTCGACAAGCCAAGAATTGGCTGCTGGAGCAGTTTCCACAGCATCGAGCAGTGGTTGAAAAGAATTTGCTCAAGAAAGGACAGACATTCGAACGCCATTGCATGAAGCGTGAGTCAGGGTCGTTTGTAAACAAGGCCCCAGCATGCACAAAGTCTGCTCTCAATAAAATGATGGAATACTTGTATTCAACTGAGTTACAAGTGCGGACTACCAAGATGCGGCGCTGTTGTGTTTGCTTTGGTACCTCTTTGGGCGTGCATCGGACCTTACAATGCTGCGGAAGGCAAACCTGTCTATTGGCTCGGGCGACATAGTCTTCGTCCGCTTTATCCGAATTAAAACTTCTGAAGAGCAAGGTCTTTCACTTTTCCATGACGAAGACTTCACCACATGTCCTCTGCTTGCCATAGATCTCGCCCTCTTGACCCACTCATCGCCAACTATATCCGTGCTGAGTCAACTTTCTGAGCAGATGGCTATCTCACAGTCCATATTAGCTCCAGCAACTCCGCTCATCGATTTTCTCGATCATCCAGAGGCTGTGGTGTCTTCACAGGATATATTATCCACTGCTGCTAAGAAGGAGAACATCACATATAACGCTCCTGGTGTACACAGCTACGTCAACCGTGTTCCTGATCGGGTCGCTGTAAAAGCTGGCGTATCCGAGCGCTTGACATCTCACTCTTTTCGGCGCGGAGGGGCGCAGCATGCGAATGGGGCTGGACTGTGTGTACAGTGAATCTTCGACCGAGGCGCCTGGAATATGACAGCGACAAACAATGCCTTCGCGTACGTTTTTAATGCGGCTTCCGAAGACCATAAGGTTGCCCGGGTTTTGAGTGGGCGACACCTCGATACCGACGTATCTCTCCTATCACTTGATGTCTTCAACTCCAGTACGCAGACAAAAATACAAACTGTTGCGACAGCGCTGTTCAATGCATTGCAAGGGCTCAAGACTACACAATACAACGTGAGCGAAATAGTGATTGAAACGCTTATCACTTACCTGCTGATCCATTATCCATCGTTGAAGCAGCTAAAGAAAGACGGACTTGTAGTCACACGTTTGGAATCGTGTGTATTCCAGCAAGGTTGCTCCGTCAGCGAACTTCTAGCTTGGTCTTCACATCTAACCTGCTACACGAAGACAAATGTGCCACCGAATCCCATCAAGGCTTCAGACAGTACGATTGACATCACAAAGCGTCCAATATATATTCGTCACGCTTCATTGATTGAGCAATTAATCAAGGTCAACCAAAAGCTCGAATCTCGCGTCTCGATGATTGAAGCTGAGGTCTATAACAAATCACAACCAAAATCTTTACATGAAAGAAGTGAGGGTAAAGACAAAGAACCCTTAGCCAAACGTCGCCGAAAGAGCTCGTCAACAAACCTGAAGGACGTCTGGTTCTTCTGGCATACCCAGGAGCCCCGCCTCTGGGATTCGTTTGATGGCTCGAGCAAGCACACGAAATTCACCGACAAAATTGTCGCTGCATTCATGAAACTGTTTCTTGCTGATGGATTCGTGCTTGATGAGAAGTCTTCGCAGTATCGAGACGATGTGTTGGAATTAGGCGATGTCGCTGAAATGCAGTTACTTTCGTTTCTTGGCGAGCACAACATCAAGGCCCGCGGAGCACAAAACGTCCTCAAGTCCATGCGCAAGCCACACAAAGCTGGTCATCTAAGCCAACACATTCAACGATACAGACAACTTCAAGCCGCCGGGCGCATTGTAGATCCAGCACCTGCGCATACCACAGACATCATCGGATAGATTGTCAACCCGCAGTACCCATAAATGATGGTCTTCACGCCATTGTATAAATGCTGAGTGATTCCGCACTAAGGAAGGAGAAATACAACAAGTACATATTAACAAGATCAGCGAGACACTTTAGCTCGTCCTTGCTCTCATAATACAGCGTATATACGTCATAGTACAACAATCCATTTTACCCTTAATCGTAGAGGTCAGATCGCTCAAAATGTTCTTGGACATGATAATATCGTATCACGATGTACACCATTTACGCACGGGGAACATGTCATCTGGGTAGCACACGGGCGGCATGTAGTCCACCATGTAGCTGCTTACCTGTCATTGAATACAACATAAAGATCAATGCGCAGTCAATAACGCGCGTATAAATACACATGGACACGGGTGCACGTGCATATACATTGAAGCCCCATCATGTACAACTCGTCCACAGTCCACGTATCGTGGTAAATTGACACGTTGGCACAACTCACGATGTAGTGAAGCAGATCAGCACGTAATATTTAACTTTCGAACACGCACACAAGGAAAATCAATTTGCCTCAATCAATCATATTTTAAGCCCCTTGTCCACACAAAATTGTACACTATTACACAAATCCGTACTGGCTTTGTCCCGATCGGAGCGTATCGGAGGTCGGAGATTTCATGTAATGGCAAAATGTGTCAGTCGTTATTTGAGAGGGGTTTTGGGACCGAAGAACCACATGTTGTAAATGTGCACTTATCGGACGAAATACTCACATTTCGACCACATCCATTTGGACTGCACTCTCGGCCATTGTATTCGTTGCGTCGGCGGTCTTTGTACCTTCTGCGTTACCGATGCGTCTGCTGTTTACTACTTGCTTTGCTGTAAATTACACCACGTAGAAGTTTTCCATCAATGGTCAAGACCAAGCGTTTCGTCCGTCACGACGATCATTCTACCGCCTTTTGCGTCGTGGGTACCCACGGTGCGTGCCACTAGCGCACTCGTTGATCGATTATCTTCGAATCCCTTTGGGACTGTTGACACGACAAAGTTGGTGTCGACGAAGCTAGAGGACGGCACATGCTTTTCAGGTAGTCGCGAACTCGGCTGATGGCCACAGCCTTTGCTTGCTGGTGATCTGCTTCGACAGGTGATACAAGAACTCTTGAATCTGTCATGCGCCCACTGTTTAGCCTTCGAGTTCCAAGATTGCTTTTTGCCAATCACCTAAGTGGTTGAGCGCACTATCAGGGAACTGTTTCCGTTACTCCGTTTCTCATTATGTACTTGCTATTGTAATCTTACCAGCAAAGGGTGATAAACATGCAGCAACATTAGCAAACAATAAGCACGTGTCTACTACGCAAACGTTTTCTGTGCTGTCTTGCGAGGCTCATTTCGATCGACATCTTGTCCGTATAATTGCTGACATTCTCAGCTCGGCTTTTAATTTATTCGAAGTTACTTAGTTTGTGACGAGGCAGTAGCAGCTTCGTGCTGACAACAGTACACAGAAAAACCTCACTGACAGCAATATTAGTCAATGCCCTGCTAACTCACGTACACGTGCACAGAGGAAGGCAGACTACTGAACGAAAAAGCTTCGTAGTAGTAAAAGAAAATCTGTATAAATATAAATAATTCCTAAATTTATTTTTGTTAATTTGCCTTAACTTTATCACATCAATGCGAGAACATGTATTGTGAAGTCAAATCACCGCACATTGCGCGCATAAAGCTGCGAATGGTGTGTTACTAACATTTCGTATATCAATCATTGAGTAGACCCTTGTGTCACTGAAAGAATATCACGTTGTCTTGTGACTTTCTATGAGGAACAATCACAGTAACATTCTTTATTATCGAAACCATTAATAATAATATTAAGTAACAGATCACCCCGTTACATAGTTGTTGTTCATATTTCCTAGCTCATATGTAACATGTCATAGGGCAACCATTATTGTTCTCGTCAGGTCAAAAGTGTGAAACCAACCTATTGTTTATGTCGATATCCACGTCCCATCAGGCAAGTATATGATGCAAAACCTCGATTTTATGCTAATAATACACGGTTAGTGTGGGTAGAGAAACGTTACGCATATGTCGTTAAACCTCATATCGTTCTTGAGCATCATAAGTGTACTATAACTGCGCAACTTGTGTAGACACCTCGTGTTTTTACAATCTTGAGACAAAATCACATGACGCAAGAATTGAAGGTAAATGAGATTATATAATCTACTGAAATAGCATGTTACACCGCTGTATGATGCCTTTCGTTCACCTTTGGGCATGTAAATTTCCTTGTAAGAAGGCACCTGAGCTTCTACTGCAACAACATTATGTAATCTACACGTAAAACAGTGTGATAATGTGGTAAAGCGACTACAGAAATTCGTGGTAGGGGAACTGGTCGCGTTTCGAATAGATCCGAGTCAGTTAACGGTTGGCAGCGCCGGTCCCACAACTGGTTGGATCGCGTCCACTGGACGATCATACAAAGCTGGATATCATATCGGACAGGATGGGACCTGCGATATAGGACTAAAGTATGACGGACGAAGGGTACGAGTCCTGGAGATGGGGTAATCGGCATG